CAGAGAGAAGGTGAGCAGCTTGGAGGTGCCCCTGGTGCCTAAGCATAGCACAACCACTTCCTTAATAACTGCTTTTAGGTGGAATAATAAAGAGCGAGCAAGATGGAAGCTCAGCCTTTCCTCTCCAATGCAGCCAAGCCTGTACCACATGCTTCTGGTTTTGCTCATCAGCAGCGGGCTGCAGGAAGGAGATAGGTCTGTCCCCTCCGCAGCATTCTGCCTGGGGGGCACCTGAAGCCACCCAAGCCAGCGGAGTGAGATGAGCGGCCCCAGGGCGATGAGCAGGGCGCACGCCACCGCTCGCCCCGGAGTTAGAGGGAAGCTGTCAGCCTGAGCAGAGGCATCCTGTTTGTTGAAAAACAAGTGACAGTTGAAGAAGGGTTGCAAGAGCGAGCAAACCGCAGCCCCTGCGCGGGGCTGATAACAGCCCTGCGCCGCTTCTGCAGCAGTTCCGTCCCAGCCAAGCTCCGGCGGGGGGATGACATGAGCCTTGCCGGCGCTTTCCTGTTTCGTGCCTTTTCCCGCCGCTGTTTCTTGCTGTTGGGCTTGCCACGTTTTTTCAGTTACTCGCCCGTTTCTCAAAAGGGCCCTCCCCTGCTATAAACGGCATGGCAGGGGCACCCGGGCACCTGCTGCCTTCCCTGCGAGGGGAGACCAGCAGCATGCGTGGGGCTGAGTGAGAGGATAGGGCCCAGCGTTCAAGAAGGAGGCTGCAAGTAGGTGCTCTTAAAAGTGTGCACCTGTCGCAGCTTGGGGTTTCATCAGTTTGTGTCCACGCCTACCCCCCTGCCAGCGCTCCTCAGCCTGAGTTCTCAGAGCGCTTCATGAGGCTTTGTTTAACCCCACGCGTCTGGAGGAGGTCAGAACTGGTAATGCAAAGGGAAAAGCGTTTTCAGGCTCGGAGACCTGTGGTTAGGCACGTAGACCTGTATTTAAATCTCAGGGCGTTGTGGACTTAGACCTGCATTTGTGCGTGACTTTATTGCTGTGACCATCACTGACTCCCTTGGGTCTGATGGGAACCCTTTTGTGGTGGTGAAGTGTGTGTATGCGTGTGGTTCCTGTTTGCAGCATAAGGAGCCTGACTTTGTGTACAACATGTAAATGATGCTATTCAGCTCCTCAAAGCTAAGCACGTGTGCAAGGCTTAGAATGTTCAAGCTCACAGTTGCATGGGCTGCAAAGGTATTGGACACGTGTATCTCCCTCTGCAGGAAGCTGGGACGTTCACTGGACTTCCCATGACTCAGGTTTACTTGACTCACTTTAAGGTTCAGCCACGTGTTAACATAAATGGCTTTCCATTCTTTCTCTCTGATCACAATGCTGGGACTAGAAGAAACAGGGTTTTCTCTCTTTAACCAAGGATGTTACTTTTCTTGAGCTTTGCATGAAATTCATCAGTATTATCAGATTGCTCTTTCTTCAGAACGATATCTCGGGAAATGTTTGTTTAAAGCAGCTTGACCAGCATTCTTATCAACCTCCATTACATCATCCTGGAAATTTTTTCTTCATTTGCTAAAAGATAGGTTTCTAGTAGGGAATTCAATTGTCAGGGAAAAGATAAGCTGGAAAATTGTTTCAATAAAATGCTGATTCACTTTGTTCTTCTAACAAAATAATAATAAAAATGTGGACAGAATTTTAAATTCAAATGCTGCCAAAACCACTAGCTTTTGAGTTTCATGGTTTTCCCTATGACTTTGCCCTCTTTCCTTTTACTAACACGCTCCCCTGCTGTGCTAGGAGCCGTACAAATGAACAGGAAAGCACCCTGAAGAATTTACAACCAAGAAAACAAAACCAAAGATAGACGAAGGCTCACTGGACCGGTACTGTCGAAACTTGGTTTGTGAGATGCATGAAATGAAACAAAAAGACAGAAATGGTTTTGGCAAGAGCTAATGTCAGTCACACAAGGGGGGGGGGGGGAGGGAAGTTGGAAAGCCCTCGGTAAGGCTCTCTAAGTCACCTCACTCTCCACAAATTACTCCCTGCCCAGGCTTTTACTCCCCTCCTAGTTGCAACAAAAGAGCTCAAGTGTTGGGTCCCTCACTGTGCTGTATGGGTTCTCTCCCAAGACATGTGCATGTTCCTCTCCCTCTGCTCCTTCCCAGTGCAAAACCTTTCCTGGCCTCAGCTTCTTGCAAGAGCTGCCTTTGGTCACTTCCCCTCTCCCTCTCTTCTGGCTTACATGTTTTCTGGAACTGCATATTCCCTATCTTCCTGCCTGGACCACGGGAATGCCTGCAATTTTTCTTTGCCTTGTAAGTGGGAAACCCCCAAGAAATCTTTCTGCGGGGCTCAGACGTTAGAAAGGCATCAATATCCGCATGCTAGCAAGCATTTAGACTGGGATCTTCAAAGGAATCTGGGCAAGCCCTACTGACAGGCTCCAGAGTAACTTGCACACCCTGCTTCCTCAGTCACTCTAAGGGTCAGGGCTTGCTGTGGTGTCTCTCAGCATAGCAAGCTGTGATGAGACAGTGGAATTGTGATTCATGAAAGACTGCTGCTGAATCAAACTTACCAACTCCAGCTTACTTGTTTGGTGCTTCAGGGGTTATTTTTAAGTGGCAGAAAATGAAGTGTACTTTCCTATGTCATTTATTGATAAGCATACATGACCTTCCGTATTTAGTAACCCATCTGCATTGGTTTCTTTTTTTTAAAGATTGATTTAGGGTACAAAATCTTCTTTTCTTCTTCAGACTTCCCTTGCCACAGAGCTTACCTGGAGAACAGGGCAAATACTGAGCTGACTCATGAGCTGTTGGAGCTAATTAGCAAAAGTTGCTACAAACAGCTCCTCTAGATAGCATGGTGGTTTTCCAGGGCTTGTTTTTACCTCTGAATATTGAGTCAGGAGGTGAAAAACAAGCTGGTAGCTCACCGTATCATCCTCCTTCCTACCCCATGTACCCAGAGGTAATGGAGCATCCCCCCCAGAGACCAGGGTCCCATAGGGACCTGCACCCAGCTGCTGTGAGTGTACTGGGCCTCCACCCCAGGCCCAGCCAGCAATCAGTGCTACAGCACTATTGGCCTCACTTAGTAGAGTCACTGTTGCTTTATAAGTTGTAGTAGCTTTTTATTTTGCTGGCACAAAAAGATGGCCTTTTGGTGCATGGCTTGCTTTTGCTCAAGCCTTTTATGCCCCCTCAAAGTCAAAGAATGGAGCAACTTCCAGGTTATACAGACAAAACTTTTACAAGACAGTGTTTAAGGGTTTCAAGGTATTTGCACTGTTGGGTTTTGAGTGCTGTAGTCATGATTTTTTCCATCCCTTCCCTTAGGTCATTCACTGGGAGAATTTATGGTTAGGGATTTTTCCTTAGTATTCAGCAAGTTTCTCTTCTTTTCATCTAAGTTGCTTAGTTACTGTAGACTATTACAGTTTATGAATGTGTGTTTGGAGTATACAATATAGAGATATGTACACGTGTGTATGTTATACGCATGTCCATATACTATGTGTATACATGTTGTATTTTATTTACTTTACACCCTAAATAATACCTCTTCTGTGTTTTGCACTCTCTGAGTGTTTGCAGGATATGCTGACCATGCCAGGTACTAGTTACTTGTCCAAGCACAAGCTCTCCAAGTTGTCCTTATAAATCTGTTCCTTGAGCCTACTGGCTACACACTTCTCTGTGTAATGGGGCAGCGTTTTATAGTGTATGGCTGTGGCAAGCGAGCTGGGGGGACAAAGTGGCACCTTCTGTAGACCCTCAATGACGGCTACTTGAGCCAGGAGCCTTGTGTCAGCCTTGACACTGATATTTTACATCACCATTGGGACCTTGAAGACTGGCCAAAATCAGCCTGTAACAAAGCCAGCCAGCAGTTGTCTATATAAAGCTGTAAAAGAGAACTGCTCTGGGGAAGATGTTATGTTCTTCTCCACTGGGCTGCCTCAGAGCATCTCCCAAAGTGCTGTGACCCCTCTGTTTCAGGCGCTTACTCCTCTATGTGGATCTGATAGGTGGACATGGATGGAGAAAGATATGTCTGGAGCATCTGCTCCAGCACTGGAAGGGAGTGTGCATGAGGGTGAGAAGGGAGAGTTGAGAAGAAAAGACCTGAGATGAGCTAAGACAGGTCACAGAGGGCTACCATCTGGGATGAACCATCATCATCTAGCCCAAATAAAGCCTTTACTTTTATTTACCCCTTCTCTTCTATCAGTGGGAGAAGCTGTTCCTTGGAAGACAAACATAGTCAGCTGCTTTGACTTTATGGTGCTGTGATTGGCTTTGATTTCATTTTCTAGTCACCAGAAGTGTAAATGCAATGCTGTTGGCCCCATTGAGTTTCGTAGAAAGTGAAGCTGCAAAAAGTATTAGGTTTTTTCTTGTGGGAAGAAAAAAGCCACGTATGCCACTAATTCCACCACAACCATTCCTTGGTTGCTGACGATAGGCAGGCTGGAGGTAAATGGGGTACTCTGCCTGGCCACATATAGGGCAGGCTGACCTTGTTTTTTCCACCCTCATTTCACATTTATTTTGCTTATTTCCCAACATGTCGTTTTTGCATTTGACAGAACAGCAGAGAAGGGCAAGAGTGCCACCCTTCACCTGCCAAAATTAGCAGCCATGCTGTGGGAGAGCAGCATGATGCAGAAGGCTGGACTAGAACACTGATGTTGCGTGGGGAAAAGCTTGCATCCGCACTTGTGGATAGCCCTTCCCTGGATGGAGCACTTCTGGGGTTTTTATTTCATTTTTTTACTCTTCTTCCTAGAAGACTTTTTTTTATTAGAATGCAGGAACAGAGACAGGGATGGAAAGAAGAATGATAAATCTTGAATTTGAGTTCAACCAAAGCCTGCTGTAGGCCTGAGATGGCCATCCATTGCTTTGCCCAAGGTCCACAGTTCAGACTGAAGTTTTATTTCATATAAAAATATCACCATAAAAAGATTACCAGATTTAACCAGGTATCTGGGGGGGGGGGGGCTTTGCCTCCAGCATCCTCACTCAGAGGCAAAGATCTGCCTCTCCTGATTCAGCACAAACTCCCACAGTGCAAGGAATAAAGTTCAGCTTCAGGATTTCAAGCTGGCAAGCTTGGATCAGAGCTTCCAGTTTAGGCCATAGGGAAAAACTTCATAATTTGTGCTTTACATTTCTGACTCTCAATAGAAGAGTTGCTTAGGCACAAACCGTGAACCTCTGTCAGTAGGTTTTAGAACAGACTGCATGGTGGTTCATTGTCTATTCCCTACAATCTAATTTGCAATACAAATGGCTTTCTCCTGATAATAGTCTTCCACTCAAGTAACCACAAAAGCCATTATTTGTTAACTCAAGCTACTGTCAAAAATAAGTCCATTTCCTACACAGGACTAGCAAAAGGAGAAGTGTCACTAAGAAAGACATGTGTGATGTGTTGCTGTCTCAGAATATTTTGTTTTCCTAACAGAAAGCCATACAGAAGATGGCTTGTATTAACAATGCGCCTGACAAAGCCATTCCATGAAGATTTCATTAAAACGTGAGAAGTAACACACCTCTTTTGGAGAATTTGTCACAAAGCCTTTGCAGCAGTTTCAGACCATCCCATTAAATGAAGATGAATCCCTCCTAGGCTATTTGTGGGTATCCCTGGTTTTCTAGATGCAAAGCCATCTCTAAAAGGCAGTATTTTGGATGAAGTGTATTTGGCAGCTGCTACAGTCAGCTCTCCTAAATCAGCTCCTTCCGTAAAGACCAGGTCTCAAACAAATGTGCCCTTATTTTTAATTAACAATATTGAAGTTCATTGCATTGCTTGTGAAGAAGGCAAACCTGGAAGTCCAAACCTTCTGTGAGCTGATGAGATGAAGCAGAAGCAGCAGGGATACACCCCTTCCCAGAAAGCCCGGCTAATACCTCAAATGTCTTTAAAGGAGAGAAGGCAATTCATGTACATATTCCATGACATTTTAGGAGCAGGCCATGGGTGAGAAAGGAGCCAGGAAGGATCTTGCTAGAGGGGAAGCAGTTGCTGGATAAACCTTGAGCTGAGCGGCCCATTAAGCACAGCAAACCCATGGTAGACTAATGTACCAACTAAGGGATCAAACCTGGCTCACATCCTTGTCAGCTCTCAGTGCAACAGGAGGGTACAGAGAGTGCTGCTTATGCTGTCCTCTCGTTTGCAAAGCTGGGTTGCTTATTCCAGGTGCATTATCTGGTTGGTGCTGGTGGCCTGGATGCAAGGCTTCCTAGATACCATAGGACAAAGGCTCTCACTTTGTGCTTGATGAGTGCCTCTGGGTAGTCAGGAGCTTTCAATTCAGTGCTAGAGCATGCATTTTGAAAAGTCCCTGAAATGCAAGTACCTGAATGCTATGAATTACCATGAATCAGCCGAGGTAAGCTTGCTACCAGGTAAATCAGGAAATGCGTGGTGTTGCACAGCCTATTTGCTTGCTTTGGGCTTTGTGGTAGGCTGCAAGCAACTAACGAGGGCACTGAGGGCAGCTCTGCCAAGAGGATTTCGGAGCAATCCCTGATGCTCTCCGGATATGCCTTACGGAGGGTTAGGAGCAGGGGGTGGAGAGGCATTGATATGTTGATATGATGGCACCGCTTGATTAGATGAAAGTTTCTCCTTTTGTATAAGAGGAAGCTGCCAGGGAGCAGCCTCATTTGCCTTGAGGACAGGTGCGTTTGCTTTGTGCAGGAGATGCTGTTGTGAGCTCTTCTTTTCATGTACCTTCACTCCAAAGCCAAACGATGCAGCTGATACAGAGGAAGGTCAACTGTTTGTAGATGGAAAAAAGACATAAAAGATGTGAAGACAGAGAGCTGTTTAACTAAATGATATTATTCCTAGTTTAAAACACACAAAAAAATCTCTCTGACCTCTATGAAACAGTTTTCCCACTATGCTGAATTAGCTATCTTTTCTTATCAGTATGAAATAATTCCTTCCCTAATGCAAACAATATGCTTGTCATACGAACAACAAGTTGTGAAGCTCACACTGGAGAAATTTCTGGAGGATCAGCAATACTGATATGACTCTTCTCCTTATGAATTTGCCCCTGCCTCTTCAGGTCATGTTTTTGAATTCAGCTCTTCAGATTCCGCATTTAGAGCAGAAAAAAAAGCAAGCTGTTTAACCAGAGCTATAAAAAGGTAAGCAATAGTGTCTGGACAAGAAGGCTTGAGCAAAGCTTCTCCTCTGGGTGAGTTCCCACGTGGGGCAGATGCAGCAGAGATGATCATGGGGAAGGAGAAATGCAAAGAGCATCAGAGATTGTTTTATAGGGGTGAGGAAGAATGACAAGGGGCAGGAGGAAAAAGGGGAGACCAGGTTTAGCTGAGGGGAAATATCATCAGGAGAGGGGAAACAGAAACGAAAAAGGTGAGGAGGAAAGGAGAGAAGCTGCTGAAGAAAAATCCCTTGGGACAGGGAAGGAGTTGGGGCACACTTTTCTTCTCTGTATCTCCAACACAAAAATGCCCCTCTGGGCTTTAGCTCCTTTGAAGTGCAAAGCAAGTTCATGTGCTCCTCAACAGCAAAGAAAAGGGTCTCCCAAAAATTTCCTCTTACTTGCAGCAGCCCTGCTGCTGCATGGAAAGTTTGGTCTTTTCTGTAAAAACATGACTCAATTGGTGAGTCCAGCTATGGGGTTTGCATGTCCACAGTGTCAGGAGACCAGTTCCTAATATTCTACTGCTCTGATGCCATGGTCCCCTACTCAGTACAAAAAAACTAGCATCTCATTTGATAAAGAGATTAGCTACAGCTCTGATTCCATTTCCCAGGGCACAAGGCAACAGAAATAAGGCTGTGTTCTTGCCCTTACTCTAACACCACTTTGAGAGCAGGTTGGAGTGACTTTTGTGAAAAGTAACTGTTGTGATGGTCCAAATTTGGGTATGTTTTTGTTCATTCTTCAGGGGTGAATTGACAGGGTAGTGTCACTGAAGGTATTCAGAATGAGGGTATGTTATTTCTCAATTGCATTGAAGAAAACAAAACTGTTGTACAAAACCAAACCCTTTCTGCTACAAAATCCCAAATCCCTGGTAGGAGATAAGGAGGGTTACCCAGCCAACAACGTTTACTTAAGTAGTGCAAAAAAGCCACAGTTCAGACTTTGCTCCTGGCCCCTTTAATCCAGTAGCACCTGCCAAAGGACATCCAATAACCCGCTCTTTAGCTGGGAGGGCTAAAAGAGAGCGTGGGTTGCAGGACTCATGTTTCAGGCCAGCTGCTGCTAGGATCGTTAGGCTTCTGGAGGAAAAAGAGTTCGGGTCACTTTTGTGGCTTTCAACAGAGTTTATTTAAAAGCTGGGGTATGGGGCGGAAACTTCATGTGTCAGTGCTGAAGAAGAAGAGCTAGTTTATAAGCAAGCTGAGAAGACTGCCAAGGCTTTGATTGTATGCATCTTGATCACTGGTGTTAACAGGAGGTTTTAAATATTAGGTAGTACTTACTCACCAGGTATGATTTGTCCTTCCATAGGGAACAGGCTACAGCTGACTGTGGTAGGAGGTTATGGTGCAGCTCTGAAGTGATATGTAACAAATGATCTAGTTAGGAGCACAACTTCACATTTCAGAGGTTCACAAAGGAATTAGGAGTCCATTTTCCACTTACTTTTAAAGGGGTTTAAGGTGCCAAGCTTGCTCCATGTCCTTTCTGAATCCAAGGCTGGGAGGGGGCCTTGTCTCCAGAAAGACCCTGAGTTGCTGCCCCCAGAGAAGCCACCCTACACTATATCTAAGGAAGTGCTGTGGAAGGGGAGCAGAAGATGAGTTTTGGAGAAAAATCCCTTATTCTTGTCAGATCTCAGCTTGAAACAAGTGTGGCTTTGACTGCTTCAGAATTTAGCCACAGCTGCAGTTACAACAGGGATGGAAGCATCTTGTACAGTCTCTGATTTAAAAAAAATGAGAACCTCATAAGGTGGAAGCATAACCACACCCAGCCAAAAATCCGTCTGTTCCTGTATCTTCTCCCCCAGAAAGGCAACCTGCAGGTACTTAAGGAAAACATGTCAGAAACTTAGCAAGCTTGCTAGGTTTTCCCTGACTTGGGTAGGGGATTATTTAGCCATAAACTGCTTTCAAAACTTTTGACATTCCCAGCTGACTGTAACTTCAATTATGCATTGTGTGAAAAATAGAGACCCCTGTGATAGGTAGTGCTCAGGGTTTATATGGGTAGATTAAATAGGTGGTAGGATTATTCAGCTCTTTCAGTCTTCCATCATTTTTCTTAAATTACTTACAGTTTTATTCCTCAAATAAATTGAAGAGGACTTGGATATATGGAGATATGAATACATAATGGATTTTTATGTAAGGCAATGAAAAAAAATGTAATCTATTTGTTTAGAAGAAAAGCCTTCCTATTGGAGACCAGATGCTTAGAAATGGTAACTGCAAAAGAAATGAAGGCTTTAAGGATCCTAAAGACTCTCTAGCTTCAAATAAATATGTAACTCTTTTCTGTGACAACATAATGCTAAAAATACACTGAATGTATCTATTCAATTTTTTCATTATATGTCTTTAATGAAGCGCTCTTTTTAAAAGAGAAATGACAAGCCATAAGCCTAAGGGGGTGTTCTTACAGTTTTCTGTGGAATTCTAAATAACTATTTTTCTTCCACTTAATTCCTTTCTCATACACACACATTGAATTCAATGACTGGAGTTGCCAGCTTTTCATTTTCTCCTTTTTGCCTCAGACTTTACACTGAAGTGTAAAGCTGTAGTTCCAGAGACAGAGATGTGTGTTTCTTTTAATGAATCTGTTACCTTCAAAATAAAGGAAATTTAGCAAACTGGCAGAATAGTAAAAGGGAAAGAAAAAAAAAGACAAATGGGAGAAAGAAGTAATGAGGAACTCTTTCAATATATCTCACTCTACAGAGTCGGGGCGGTGGGGGGAATGGAAGGGGAAAGTAAAACTTCAAGACAGAAATTGTTTTTTAAGCTAGTGTTGAGAGTGCCCAGATGTTCTGTTTCAACGTATTTCAGATGTTTTATGAAAGTTGTCTGGTTTTGACCACTTGTAATCCCCTGAAAATCAGTGCGTTCTTTAGTGAAAGGATACACCCAATTTAAACCACTTGAACTATGTTTAACAAAAGTAATAATAAATCTAATCTACTGATGGCACCATAGAGAAGGAGGGAAAGCTTCAAGGAAACAATACTGAAACATCCCAATGAAAACGGTTTGCCTGAAGTTAGAAGCAAATGAATCTCAGTATGTGTTCTCCTTGGATTTTTTAGTAGAGGCACCATTTCAGTCTGTAATTCCCATCACTGAGCACTGGTAACTTTAAAAGGAATGGTAACTCTGGCCAGAGGTAGGGTCAGCAGAGCACCACCATATTCTGTAGAAAACGTAGGAAAAGGTGGGTTGATTTCCATTTGTGCTTATATCTTGAATATAAATATTAATCTCAACTTCAAAAGTTAGTGCAGTAAATACCATAGAGAGCAACAAAATCACTTGGCTGAGAAATATGTTTCCCTAAATATTTTATTTGTTGTAACACTTCATGGTAAACACACTTAACATTTAGTTCACAGGCTAATGCTTAAACATGAATAATCGTGTCTTTCATACCTTTGTCTTCCTCTAGGGTAGAAAGCACAGTTGCCAAATATGGCAAATAACTTCACATCTCACGGCTTGAGGCCAAAGAACGGGGTTTTATGCTCAGACTGTCAGATAACAACACTGTGTCAGTGTGGGACCCACTAGAAGAGGTGAAAAGGTCCAAGTGAAAAATGCTCCATGCTCCTATACTTTCTCCTGTCCAGGCCAGGGCATGTTGCTCCCTGCCATGCCAACAAGTCCTGCTGGGGACAGCAGTTCTGCGAGCAAGGATGTGTAGATGCTTCTTCACTGGTACCTCAGTTTCAGTGTGCGTTTCATTAGTTTCTGATCAGTCAAATGAGTCTGCACTAGGTAGCTGCAAATTCAACAGTGAAAATAAATTGGATTCTGGTCCAGTCAAACTGGCACAAGGTTGATGATGCCATACAATTTTGCCTCCTGCAGATCAGGTTTCCATTTGACGCTCTTCTACATTCTTTAGGGCAAACAGTAGAACCACCTATAATTGCCTGTTATTCAATGCACACACGACCAGCTTTCCCTCTAAGAGCCATGCATCTGCCTCTCTATTACCATCATGAGATTTATATTTTTTTGGACCAGTGGCTCTTTTTATGTACATGTCTGTTTGATGTTCTATGACAGTGAAATTTCATCTTGCCCTCTAAGCCTGTCCTGTTCAAACCATTAATTATCATGCCATAATCACTAGAGCCTGTTCATTTGATTTAACAGCATGTGCTTACTCACTGTTTAGAGTATACACTAATTACGTTATTACTTCATCAAGAGCAAGTACTGGGTTAGATGGAGTGAGTCTGTGCTGGGTCTCCAAGGGGATGCTAGGGAAAGGGTGAAGTACAGGAGGGGTAGGGATTGCAAAGGCTGTGGCAAAGCACTGCTGGCTCGTGGCAGCTGGGTCTGTGGGCAAGGAGGTCTAGAAGAGACGTGGTGGAGATGAATGCTGGAGCCAGTTGAGAAACAGCCAAGGATCCGCTTATATCTGCGCAAGGAATTTTACTGCTTTTCCCCGGCTGCCTTGTAGATGGGTACCAATGAGCTTAAGAGACTGGACCCTACACAACTTGAAAGTGTTTAAAAAGGACTATAAGGCAGGTCCTACCTCATGGTGCTGGTAACCTCGTGCAAGATGGACAAAGAGTGGCAAGTGTGGACCTGCCACCTCCCATTTCTCTGAAGGGGAAGTGAGACAGAGGGAATAACCGTCTCGTGCAAAGTCATACAGGAAGTTCGTGCAAAGCAGAGAGCTCAAGCCAAACTGGCTGAGGAGGGATCTCTGAGAAAACAGCGTAAGTGGTCGAGTCCAACTCTTTTTTTTTAATTCCATTTTAGGTTAGTCCGAACTGTAACAAAATCCCATATATTTTATATACAGTTTATAATATTTATTTCCAGAAAAGTAAAAAAAGCTTGGCCTTGAATTAAATGTTTAACTGGATCCCAAACCTCCCCCCATATTTTCAGTGCCACAAAGCATTACCAGGACCCTAGAGCAGGGGGAGATATGGGGTCTGTCCCCTGGAGGCCAGGTCTGCAGACTCATGCACAAGACCCGGAAAATACTTTTTGCAAACCCTGACTCAATGGCTGGATGACTCGTGCCCTGCCAGGAATTAAGTGTACAGCTCAATACTTCACACTTGTGTTTTTGTTTGGTTTTCCAACGAGCAGCTGAGGTGTAGGCAGCAGTCTGCATATGCAAGGTTAGCCAGAAAAAAAATTAATCATTGGGAATTATCGAGAGACTTCAGCTGCTCTGTTTTTAAAGGCCCAGAGTGGATGTTTTCCTCTTGGCCTCGTCATGTTTTCATAGCCACTTGGAAACTCAGCACTAGCATCATCTGCAGAGATCCAAGCTCCCCTGCTGCCAAAGCAGGATAGTTTCCTACTCTCCTCCTTGATCGTTTTGTCCTGTGTAGTTTTAAATGACTCAAGCTATGGTGCTTCCTACCACTTCCCTTGGGAGACAAGTTTGCAGTCCAAATAGGCTATATGGTAGCAAATTTTCCTCCTATTCAGCTCAATTTCTTTCCCCTCAGTTTCATCCCCTAATGCCTATTCCAGACAGAGGCAATGTTGTTGGAGCAGGAGGAAGCAGCCAGAGGAGCTGGCAGGACTCGCGTCAGCACCCTCAATGATGGAAAGTGTGACTGCTTTTTGTAACACAGGTGCATTACTTGGGTGCGATGATAGGTCCTGGGCTGCTCCTGGCTACTGAGGGCTGGGGCTGAGTATTGGAGAGCCAGCAAGAGCCAAACCCCTCTGTTACCCTCTCCAGCACCACTGTAAGAAATATGGAGGGAAGCCAGGGCTTTCCCTACCACAGTCTTATTTCCTCTCCTTCCAGCAGTTTCTTTTCCTTTAGTCAGGCAAAGGGCAACAACTTCAGACCTATGGTGTGCATTGACTCCTGTTTCAAATTGTCTTCCTATGGCAAAAAGGTTTCTCACTCCTCACTATTTCAAGCACACCATCACCGTGTCCTCTGTCCTACCAAGCACATCACCTAATCCCTTCCCTAAACTGGGCATTCTGCATTAGTAATAGAAAAAAGTTAGTCCAGGTCATTTGTGCAGGTTTCTGAGATATTTTATCCAGGGGAGGGGAAAAGAAAGGGTTTGTCTTCCTTCGTATCTGCATTTGGCAGATTTCTGGTTAAAAAAGAAAAAGAAAAAAAAAGACAGAGAAGTTGTCTGAACTGAAAGGGGGAGGGGAAAATCTTGCTTAGAGGTGGTTCTAAAACAGTAGTTTTGAAGTAGACTTCCAGCAAATTGTGTTTTCTGTGTGGAAAGCGTGTTGGTGTGGTATAAAGGTGTTATTGGTATTGGATGGCCTTGACCTCAGTCAATGGCTTTGCCACTCATGAGTAATGCAAGCTTTTCAACAATCAGCAGTTAATTTCATTTCGGATGTACTATATTAGAATTTGTATGCATATATTATATTTACATATTCCTATTACATAGCAAGGAAAGCAGCTACAACCCCCTAACACTACCTTAAATTAAACTCTCAGACCTGGTTTTCCAGGTGCTGGTGACAGACAAAGCACAGCAGCCATGGGGTTGGAAGGAAGGGGGCTGCATAGATACATGGCTACAGACAGATCATACATTCTTGAGCTTGCATGACTGAGAGGCTGCCAGGGGAGCTACAGCTCTATGGGTCCCCTCTGAGGGGCTTACATAGAGACCCAAGGGACCAACGTAAAGACTTCACATAGGTATTTGCAAATCACCATACAGGGAAACATGCACCCTCCAGAGCAAGCTTCTTGTTGCTGAGGGAAGAATGAGGTCCACCTTTCACAGGGTGTATGCTCACACGTCTGTGGTTTGGGTAAATGCACTGCTGGCTGTCTACAGCTTTGTGCTATGGTGTAACTGCCTCAGCCCTCCACACCTGCCCCACCTTGTGCAGCACCGACCATCACAGAAACCACCTGGCTGTGGCTCCTGGTGCCTACCCATCTCCCCAGCCCTGGCACAGAGGCTGCAGCCCCTTGCAGAGGAATGTGGAGGAGAGCCTAGAATTGATAGGGGTTTTCTGGAATCCTACTAAATCACTAGGTGAACAAATGGGCTTTTGTTTTTCTGTCTTTATTTTTTATTTCTTTTTGCAAGAGCATGGAAGTGGACCAAGGAGGGCACAGAGCATGAGAAACCGTTCTGCCCCTGTACTCACAAGAGAAAAGAGGTCATCCTGGTAGCTGGTGAGAGACTCAGTGCAAAGCCCAAGCGAGAACAGGCTGTAGAAACAGGATTTTAACTTTGAACATCTTCATCTCGAGAGGAGTATTCTGTTTCAAGGACTTAACATTGTGGAAATTGTCTTAGGTAGAAACAGAAAGATGAAAGCTACAAAGTTGTGTTCAACTAGTTCGCCTAGTTCAGCTGCGTTGAAGGGACAATGTGGGTGGAAGAGTAACCTGCTAAAACAAAACCACGTTTCTCAAGATGCTTTACAAACTGGAGGCTACGCAATGACATGTTTCTTGTACCAGAGCAAGTTCATTGTATTGTGTAGTCTGGTCTAGGGAAGGACTTACACAGCTAGAAATGCTGAGGTTGTGTGGTAGCCTCACTTCAGGAGGTGCTGCCAGTGTCAAGGCAGCACTTCTGAGTACAATGTCAGGACATAGCACATCGTATCTGTGGACACATGAACCTCTAAAATGCCTAGAAGTACCAGACAATCAGTGTGAAGAGGAACTGCCTTTTAGAAGTGAGACATGGGATAAATAAGCATGTTATCTCAGTGTTCAGTAAGTAACCCAGTGGTTATTTATTGTACAATGTGAGGATTTATTTTATTTTATTCCTTTTTTTTTTCCAGATGTGCAGACTAATTAAATTACTCAGAGAAGGAGGGGGATGGGGGAGAATCAGCTTGATCTGACTTCAATTTGACTGAAGTCTGGATCTAAAAATGTGGCGCTTTGAAAGACAGAATAAGCAGCTTCCTGAGTCATAAATTGAGTCACACAGACCCCTAATGGTGTTTCCAGGACTGCAGACAAGCTGTTGCTCTTAAGACAAAAAGTAAAACCTTTAAAAATAAACTACTTTGTGGCAAATTTCCAGGAAGATTTGTAATGTCCTGTGAGAGTCACTTCAAAGGTACATATCCTGCCCCTGGGAGCCTGCATCTTTACATGAAGTGAGCAAAGGCAAAGCTCTGGTGATGTGCAGAAACAGGAGCTACATGATAATAACAGTGGGTTTGCATCCGGGGAAGCCCAGCAGCAGACCCAACTTCACTGTAAGCCTGCAGTGTGCTTAAAAATAGAGATGTTATTCCCTGAGGGACTGATGGAATTAGCTGCCACTGCAAAGTACACAAGCCCTTGCACATTTGCTTGTGCATGCAGTAACATAACTAAGCAAAAACATCCCTGCACTCTAATCTGGCTCACTCTACCAAAGGCTTTTCAGCAACAGAGAGAAGGTGATTGCTACCCATCTGCCCAGCAGCCATTCCCAAATAAATGGTGAGCCCACACTAGACATGGAGAAGCCACCATGGCTCTGGTGTGAATGGTATAAGGCGTCCAAGCCCAATCCAGCAAACGTTTTAGGAATGACCCAGTGCCTCTGGATCAGGGAGATACTCTGCGGAATGAGTGGGCAGCTTCATATCCTAATTGTGGATCTGTTTGCTGGTAGTCCCAGCAGAGAGTGGGCTGTCTGTGTGTTCTCCTCTTACCTCTGAAACTGGTCCTTGCAAAAGGAGATGCATTGTGTGCAATGGCAAATGGGAGAACTGTTTACTTTCTCTCTATTATGGATTAACTGAGGATCTTAGTCTCCACAGCTATCACTGAGTCACTCTTCACAAGCACTAAATTCACACAGCCACAAAAATGCTGCTTTATATCAATGCTTTGGTGCCATTGTTGATGATTTCTTACTCTAACCTGTGCCAACACCACAAGCATTCTTATTAACATGGAAGCTTCCAAGACAACTGATGGAAAATATTTAAGATAAGAAGAAGAAAAAAAAATTGCCAGAATGAACCCAGAGGCTCCATCTTTAATTAAAACAAACAAAAAAAAATCAACCAAAAAAGCTAGCCCTAGGTCAACTATCTTACACCTCTGACTTTCTGAAGCAGATTTGGTCTTTGTTCTTAGCAATAATTCTTTACTGGTCATCATAATTAAACTCCAAGTGGGTGTGAGGGAGTGGGTGTCTCTATGATGTAGAAGTAACCTACCACCTTATTCTGATTTCAGCTATGTCACATGCGTTCTCCTTGAGATTTTGGTAAGAATTTAGTCTATGGAGGATGCTCCAAAGCAACACCTTTGTTCTGTCTCTTGCTCTGATGTGTATCCTGTGGCATAAGGGGATCTTTAAGTCTTGCAGCTGGCTCCCCAGAAAGGATAGCTCTACTTGTCCACAGCCATGAGTTGCCTGTTACACCATGGTGTTGGGTCTCTGGCCCATGGTCATTTCTCGACCTCCTTCTTACCCTTTCACCCCCACTCCATACCCTCCTTCCTTTTAGTCCACAGTGATTATCCAGCAGGTCTGGTCTGATTATACACACATCTCTTATAGTACCTACAGTGTCAGGGTATCAAGTGTCAAGTGCGGCTTGCTTTGGTTTTGTGCCTGGAAATAGAAATCCCAACCATACTGTAAGGGGTTTCATTTTACTTCCTTGAATACAGTACACCACTCTTTGGCAAGGGGAGAACACATTTAGAGAAGAATAGACTATACACAAGGATGTGGACCTGTCATAAAATTCATTTTAGTTTCCAGTTTAAATTACCCCTGCTAAAAAGATCTCATTACCATGCAGTCTGACAGCATAAAATCCTGTAGAGGAAAAAGGCCACCACCGTAAGGCTGGGGGATAGAAAATAACTGTAGGTAAACCAGAACCCCTGTTTGCTCTGCATTCACCAATCTCTGCCCAACTGATGCTGCAAATCACATCTAGGGTATGGCGTAGGGTATGGAGAATGATCACAAGGTCACACTGCTGGCATTGTTCATATGGGCTTGGGCACCCTGTGTAAGTGTAGTGTGGCATATCTTGCCTAGTGTGGTGTCCCTTGCTCAGCCCGGGGCATAGGAGTGGCTGGCTGGCAGCTTTCACTCAAGATCAGAAGGTTTCTGGGGAAAAAAGCCAGAAAAGAAATTAGTCCCCTGGAGTCCCTGTGGTTGCTGCTGTAGTGGAGGACAGACCAGTGACCTGGGTCACTCCTGTAGCCTTCATCAGCTTTGAGTCTGATTTTTACAAGCTGGATCAAGGATGCGGGATGTAAAAGTGCAGGGAGGTACAGGCTGCCTCCGTTACAAATCCATGCTAAAGTGGACAAGGGGACAAGGAGGGCAGAAGCCCTGGCCCTGGGCTGTGTGTGGTCACCTCCTGCCCTCTGGTGTGTGCTACCAGGAAAGGGCACAGGCAGCCCCAGGGCAGGGGAACAGGCTACCACCATGCAAGGAACGGGATACCCCCCGGGATGCCCCATTGCAGCAGCTCCTGCCAAAAAAAGGGACATTTCCCAGGTGGCCACAGTGGCTGCCTGGTATGTAACTGGCCATAGCACACATGCTCATGTCCAGCAATAGGACCTGGTAGAAACCCCCAGTTCAGAAAGCCTCATAGCAAGGAGCAGCAGCAGCATGAAATGGCCCAGCTGAACTTGCTGGCACCTAAACCCTGAGTTTAACAAAGGCATTTAGGAAACTGTCCCAAGGATTTTTTTGGTATTTCAGCTGTATTTATGAGTCTGTCCCTAAATGCTTGTTTAAGTAAGTGCAACCACTTCGGGTATTTCAAGATGAACTTGTCAGTTCCTCTGTTTCAGTGCAGGATATCTCTTCTGGCTTTGCAGTTACTCTCTGAAATACTGCTTGTGCTTTCAGGAGAAAGATGTGCTTTCCCCTTTGCAGTCACTTTTCCAAGGCTTTCAGATTATTTAGGGCAGAAACATTGTCCAAAGCAAATCTGGGGAGGATTTCCTGAACACTTTAGGACATTCTTTCCACACATGTCAAAAAAACAAAAAAAGGTTTGATTTCTTCTCAGGTACGTTAACATACCAAATTAGGCCCTCAGTTATTTCCATGTCCATCTATGTCCCATAAATAGGATGTGCCTGGAGTTCAGCATCTGCCAGTTCCACTCCCCAGCTGGCCATGCTCCTTTGGGTGCAACTAACAGCAGAGCTGTGGCCCTGGGACTTGCAAGAAACATTTCCATGTATATTCCTACCATGGGTGATGTCATGCAGCAGCACTCTTTCACAAGGGTGGGTTTTTTTCTTTCCCCCCTTTTTTTTCAAGCAGAAGAAATGGATGAGTCATGTCTTACAGGCAGCTCTTTCCCTTCTTTTTCACTCATCATCAAAGTGCAAATCATGGCTTAACTATGTGCAATTGTAAATTGGTTTGGCATAGTTATGTCTAGATCCACCGAGTTTCCCACTTGTGGGAGTCTCCCATTACCCTTTCTCCTCTCTGACTCACTTGCATGTGTACCAGTGATTTCACTACCAGCTGTCTCACTGCTCCAAAAGGTCTAAAATGGGACATATGTATATATTCCCTGAATTAGATATCTATCTCACTGCCATTTTGGCATTGTGTGCATAACCTAGGATACACCTCAGCCCCCACAGACATGTCATTCTTTTTAATATTAAACTTGGGTGCAGTAACTGCTTTTGCAGACAGGAAAAACAATTAGGACACATTTTCAAAGAAGTGTGTGGAGCATTAGCCATGTAATTTGTATTGACTCTAGTGGAGGGTTCATATCTAAAGCCTTGTGCAATTGCTTTGGAAGTTTTAGGGGAATTTATTACATTGTCTACTGTTCGAGAGGTTGTGTTATTGTGTTTTATTAGTAGTCATAATCACCATAATGAAGTTAAGCCTTAGAAAAGGAAGGTCAGAAAACAAATGCCTCCTAGTCATTACACTAATGCTGTTAGATCAGTTTGTACAGCTGCTGAAAAAGACTTTGCATGTACAATGGATAATAACTATTTCAGATTTATGTCGGTCCTGCATGTCTGGAAGTTGAGCTATGGATCTGCATGCCAGAAGACTGCAAGTTCAAAAAAATGCACAGGAAAAGTTGACTGCTGCTCTGGAAGACTTGTAAAATAGCAAGACGTATGGATGGGGCTCATCTCACCTATCCAGCTCAAGTTAGTCTTTTCTCTCTTCTTTGATTAATGTGGGGAGAGAGAGGGAGAGGTGCACCTCCATATAGGGTTTGTCCCCATCACAAGATAAGTCTCTAAGATAAGTAGGTTGAATCACCCTCTGGCAGTGCCTTTCTAACCTCCAGTGACTATAAAGGGAGCATAGTTTAGACTGGCTTAGACAAGACAAAGCTAAAATTAGGTGAGACATATCCCACCCTAAGATTTGCACCCAGGCAAATTGCTGTACAACAGCATGACTGGGGAATCTGAGACCAGTAGATTAGGATTGCTGACCATTTATTTTCCATGCTCTCTTATCCTTGGGCTACCATCTTGCCCTTTTAGAGATACAGCCCTACCCCACAGGGTCACAGGAGTCTTACTAAATCTAGACCTAGCTTATGGTCCTCCTTGATCAGTTGCATGTGTAATTGTTCTTTCAACTGGGAAAACTATGAAATGTGGGAAAACAGGATTTGAAAAGGATGATCATAAGGATTCTTACCAGTGCATTCCCTTGGCTTTTAAAAAAAGGAAACTTTGGCAAGGATGCAAAACCCTTGAAGATGGGTCCACCTTCTTTCTCTCTTATCTCATCTACCTCTTCTGCCCTGCAGGCGAAATGTATGGGATTCCACAGGCTGACAGTTCCTCTTAGTTCTAGGAAAGTACTTAATTATCTCAATCACTTCATAA